GAGCAGGTCCATGAAGTAGCGGATTCGGATGGTTTCTGTGGTGTGCACCAGAGAGGCCTGGGGTTGGGGAGTGGAAGGGCAGCAGGGGAAGAAGGAGCGGTGAGCCTCAGACACACTGAGCCTCCGCTTTCCCCCTTCCAACTAACTTGCAGACCTGAACAGTTTGTTCAATCTCCAGGTTTACTTAAAAGGTCCTGCTGTTGAAAATTGTTTGCATTTGGTCGTCCGTCATGAAGCCTGAGACGGGACGGGGAGTCCTGCTCCTAAGTCGTCAGTAAACTCACCTGTCTCTGGGGCAGTTACCTGCAGTGGGATGTCCAGGTCCAGCTCAAAGGCAGGTACTTTTTCCGTCCACGGCAGGAACTTTTTAGTGTCAGGATCTATGTAGTAGTCGAAGATCGTTCCCTGCGAGGGGAACTTGATCGTTTTAAATTCATTGATCCACCATTTGCTGAACTCGACTCGATAATCTACAAGCTGTTGAAGAACAAGAATAACAAGCAGGGCCCAGCTGGGGGCGGCCAGAGACCTCACATGGGCGGCGGGCTCCCCCATGGCAGGCTGCTCACCTGGTCCTGGAACATGGCTCCCCCGAAAGCCCAGAAGCAGGCAAACACAAAGTAGAGCTCGTACAGCTCTTTGGGGGAGTCGGGTGGCGCGTTCTTCTCTGTGAGAAGGCACTCGAGCAGGTACAGGATCATCTGGGTGATTGTGATCTCCGGTATGGGCGTGATCTTCTTAAACCCAAAGCGCAACTTATCCAGGCACGTGGGCAGGTACTTGTCGAAGAGGATCATCAGGTTGGCCTTCTCAGACTGCACCTTGCGCCTCTCAATCCAGCTGCTCACCACCCTGGGGAAGACGGAGAGGCACTGGGTGCTGGGACCACCACGTTGGGTCTGCCCGGCATCCCTCCCCTTGCTGAACACGCCTGGTGTCTCTAAGTGATTCTGGCGCTCCTGCCTGGTGATAGGGCCAGACGCAGAGCTTATGAGAGTCTGATGAAGGTGCTGGGGCCGTGGGGGTGTGCTCTTTCTCTGGCATTCTAGCTATGCCGTAAGCTTAGAACAACTGGGAACCACCTTTGCTACCCCAAATGAAGCCAGTGCTGAGGGCAACAGAGCTGGACATAGGGGAAGAGAAAAATCCCATGACACATCATCTGGGCGGGAAGTGGAGAGAAGGGATGAGAGGGGAAGAGAAGGAAGAGAAAGGGAGAGGAACAGGGACCTCTCATTACATCATCTGAATTCCTGGATCCAGCCATGCCTGAAGCAGTTTTGGTGAATTGAGCCAATTCCTTTCTCTCTCTCTCTCTCTTTCTTTCTTTTTTTTTTTTTGCTTTAGCTAGTTTGAGTTGAATTTGTCACATTCCATGGAAGAGTCCAAACTAATGCAATAGGTAATCCTTGAGGAGCCATGTTGGACTGTCAGAGGCCCATCTGCCTCTGGAGTGGGCTGCCCAGAAGTGGCCCCCCCATTAAGGGTGAGGGCACAGACTCTGGGGCCTGCTGCCTGGGCTTGAATCAACTCCATTGTGGCCAAAAGCGGCTTGGGCAAGTTATTCAGCACGTCATTTATAAGTGTGAGTGACAACAGTGGCTCCCATTTTGAAGGACCACCTGGGCTGATATTTTTAAAGCCCACAGAAGGGAGCCTGGCCCACCATGAGTGCTGCATGAGTGCCTGCTAAAAGCATAAATAGTGTCCGGCTCCCTTGGGGGTCAGTGAGCGTGTCATTTCCAGGATGCCCTGAGCAGAAGCAGGAAGCTCGTGTCACCACCCAGCACAGGAGGACATGCCTCTCTATGAGCGAGCCCCCACCCTGGAGGCTCCAGTCCTTACTGTGCTCTATCAGAACAGAGAACTGAGAGCTCAAACCTCTGCCCCATCACACCCTGGACTGTCCACAGTAACAGAGTCATCCTTTCCACAGTCTGTGTCTGTGGGCAAAGCGTGGTAAGCCCCGTGCCTGCAGTGGTTAGGACCTGACCTCCGAATAGAGCAGGTCTTCAGAATGGAGCCTGGTTTGCGAATCTGTGCACAAACTGCTGTATTTGCCTTCTCTCCTGAAGGTGTTTATGGCAAATTAACAATGTTGCCTTGGTTAGAGTCATCTAGGGCGTGCAGATGGGCACGCTGGCTTTGATGGGAAATGCAAGCCCAGGGGGACACACACACTTGGGAGGATGAGTCGGCCTGGCTCCTGCCCCGTCCCCAGAGGCAGCCTCCCTTCCCTTCCCGCTCTGGGATGTGCCCCGTGGTCTCCTGGCCTCGAGTCACTGCTGCCCCCTGGGGGAGGGCTGCCTCTTTCTCGAGGGGCCCCGTGGTGGTCCCCTACCCTCTTCACTTCTCTCTTCCTCGTCCCCAAACGGCTGCTCACTCTCTTGGTCCTTACCCTGGGGCCCCCAAGAACTGCTCTTGGTGCAAGGCTTCCCTCCAGGCTCTCTCCTCCCTGCCCCACAGGTGCCCCCAAGTGCCCCACGATCCTGCCCCCTCCTGGCGCCCTGTGTCCACAGCTCCTCCCTTGCCTGCCCACCCCGAAAACTCTCACACGTGGTGATAGTGGGCAGAGTGGTGGCTCCCAAAAGACAGGTCCACTGAGACTGGAAAATGTGACCTTATTAGGAAAAGGGTCTTTGCAGACAGACGTAGTCAAGGTAAGGATCTCAAAATGAGATCGTCCTGCATTAGGGTGGACCCCAGGCCAATGACTGTCCCTACAAGAAGAGGGGACTGAGGGAAGACCTCGGGAGACACAGAACGGTGGCCGGGTAGAGACAGACGCAGGGATCGGGGGGTGCATCCAGAAGTCAAGGGACACCAGGGATGGCCCGGAGCCGCCAAAAGCCAGGAAAGAGGCCTGGGACACGTTCTCCCTTGGGGCCTCTGGGAGGAACCAGCCCTGGCCACACTTAGATTGTGGACCTTGGGTCCCCAGAATCACTGCCACATCTTCTATTTCTTAAGATTTCAAACATTTCTCACACCCTCCCTTCCTCTCTGTCCCCAGGGGCCACCCATGGTTCTGCACGGGCAGGCCGGTCCTCGCCGGCCCCTTCCCGCCAAGAGCGTCTTCGGGCTTCACGCTCTACCCACGAACACCCAACCACTGCCCGGACCCCGCAACCTCCCGCCCGCCTCCCCCCGCCCCCGTGCCCCATCCAGGCTGGTTCCCGCCTGGCATGCGCCCCTCAGTTTTCGTCCTCCTGGAAAACTCCCTCCCCCACCAGCTGTCAGCCCTCCGTCGGCCTCCTCTCGGGAAGACTTCCCGTCTCGGCGACGGGCCCGGACCCTCCTCCCTCCCCCTCAGGGTACCCGCCGTCCTCTCGCTGCGCTCACCCCCACAGCCACGGGGCAGTCTCGCATCCTCTCACTGCTGTGACCCGTCGTGTGGGGCGCGCCACGCCATATTTCCCCAAGGCCTGGATGCACACCCGCACAGGCAACTCCGAAACGCCCCCAGCCCCGTCTTCCTCCGCCAGTTTGGAACGGGAAAACGAAAACCCAACTCACGGGTTCCACCCCAGATCTGCGGGGTTGATGTAAAGAATGCCGGCTCTGGAGACGGTGGCCGGGGTGGCCGTCCTCAGGTGGCTGATCTCGAACACCAGCCTCATGGTGCGGTTCAGGGGGATTCGCTCATTGCTGGCCAGGGTGAGGACCTGGGAAGGGAGGCAGGCCTGTGGGTTTACAGGGGCCGACGTGCCATCGTCCTGATGGATTGTCACACGGACGTGTCTCCGGACGAGGAGGAAGTCTGGGACCTGTGCACCTGTGCCCGCCACCAGCCAGCTTCCCCCAGCCCAGCCTTTCCCAGACATCCCTGACCCCCGCCCCCGCCCACCCCAGGACAACACACGAGGCTCCCAGAAATGCGCACCGTGTAGGATGTCACTGGGATGTTCAGTTTGCTTTCTGAAACCATGATCCCCGCCCCCTCCCCCGGGGACTCTTGAGTTCCCTCTTCCATCCAATTGAGAATCCCTTTCTTAAGCGGCTTCTAGATCATTCTGAAGACTGTTTCTGCCTTCCAAGATATGAGATGTTCCGCCACGTTATGTCACATGCCAATTAAGCAAGAATGTTCTCTGTATCTGCACCCTTCACCCTCGCTGCTGCCCAAACATATCTCAGATGGGGGCATGTGGAGCTGTGTCCTCTGACAAACACATATTGTGACAGGGATCTTTCCCTTGTTCATAACTTTCTGTGCAGAGTTCCAGACAGACCCTCACTCTTCCGGTTCCAGTCTAGGGCAGGTTCTGTCTGTTGTGTGCAGCGGGTGGTGATGTGTGGCCCTTCCCATGCGCCCCCTGCCCTGCCCTGACCCAGGCCCCGGGGCCATCACTATGGCTGTGGGGGTTAGTTCTGGAATCCAGGAGCCCCTCGAACCTTGTTGTCATCCATCACGGTGTTAAGAGATTCAATCCACATCGGGTCTATGTCTCCATCCAAGACAATCCACTTGGGGCCATCATGAGTGATGTTGGCCAGATCCCGCATTATGGTAGAGAAAAGGCCTGTGAGTGAGCAAGGCTGGTGTGAGCCGGGCTGGTGTGAGCGGGGCTGGAGTGAGTGAGTAGGGCTGATATGAGTGAGCAGGTCTGGTGTAAGCGAGCAGGGCTGGAGTGAGTGAGCAGGGCTGTTGTGAGTGAGCAGGGCTGGTGTGAGTGAACAGGACTGGTATGAGTGACCAGGGCTGGTGTGAGCTTGGCTGGTGTGAGTGAGCAGGGCTGGTGTG